GATGTGCAAAAAATCTCCGATCTAGATATTGTGGTTCTCTAGAAACTACTAATGCACGCTGAGCCTGGGACACCATGTATAGGTAATGGTAATTTGTTTTGGTAATTTGTAATAAAAACCCTATAATTCACTACTTTAATGAATATTGTAGATTGATGTAGGTGTAGATTAGCTGTATTAATCACTTTTTGTGTCCCCTTTTCTTGAGTTATAACTCATCCTCATCATCATACGGTCTTAGAGCTTTGACAAAAGCCAGTATCTGAGACGGTTTTACAGAGGTTAGTTCTCCATCTCCGATATCAGTCGTACAAAAGTTTTTAGCACGAATGATTGTCGTCTCGGCGCACTCACTGATGAGATGCTCTGGCGTTTCCTCATCTTCCCCACAGAATCTGCATTCGCCGTTGTTTCTTAGCTTCAATTTATTGAGGTGTTCATTGAGGAGACAATGTACTGTTAAAAATCCCGTGACAATCCGAAGATTGTTCTTACTTCAGTCAAAGAAAATCTTTGATTTTTCTCGATCGTAAGTCTTGAGAAACTTCTTCGATTGTTGTTTCTTAGACCGTTAGAGGACTCCCATTCTACCAGGTTACGGATGGACTCTTTCAGGTTCTTGAGTTTAGCTATAAGTTTGTTTCCATTTGGAAAGCAGAATGGTTCTGGTCAAGTTAGTGGAGTGTTCGCTCCTTTTCTAGCTACATTGTTTACTTTTTCATTACCTCCTATCCCTTAGTGGACTGGCACTCAGAGTAGGAAGACTTTATTTTCTTTGCCTAATTTGTTCAGCTTCTCTAAGTATTCTTTGTCCAACTTCGAATTGATGATTACTGAGTTGGTTATCGCTCTTTAGGTTGCTTGACTATCGAATAAGATGGTGTATCGAATTTGTATTAAAAACATTCTTTACAAGAACAATAGCAAACGCTAAATAATATATACTTCACACTATAATTTTTCTAACCCACTCGCAATATACGCAAAGTTCAAAATCCCCCATGGGAAGTGACTACGTAGAATAAAAACACCATTGTTAAACTTAAGTTCATACAACAAATAAAAGCAAAATAGAAGAAAAGATGATATCTATCCGTTGTTTTCACACGTTATTTTAAAATGTCTAGCGCTAGAATAATTCGTTGTTGGTTAAGCGACTAAAATTTAAATCGCTGTAATCAGAAACCTGTTCCGAGCTGAATAATTAACGAAGTCTGGCCATATTTACGTGTCTTATGGTCGTTGATGTCGGATTTATAAATGCGACGGAGTGCATTAGAAATATAGTCGGAATAATAATTAAAAATAAGTGGAAAAGTTAATTCGAAAAACAAAGAATGCGATTTGAAAAATAAATTTATGACAGAGTATAATCAAGAAAATAATGTTTTAGGTTTGAAGCCAGGGGGGCCTAAGGTTTTTGATTTTTAAAAAATAAAGAATAACAATATTAAAAAATAAAACACATTTTTGAATAAAACGTTTACATGAATTTCTCTTGGTTATCAACCCGTGTTCCCGTAGATTACTTGAACACCTACAAATTTTATAAAAAAAAATTATTACATCACAAACAAATAAAAATTAATAAGTATTTAACCAAGAGTCATAATTCAGTCAAAATTCACGATTTCCCTGAGAGGTGCCCAACAGTACCTAGGGGGGTCCCCTGTCCCCCCTTTAGTTAGGCCAATGTCTAAGTATCTACAGTGTGTCTTAACACAAATTTGAGGAAATTTCTTACAAGAGTCTTTACAAGAGGAAACCCTTTTTTATTTATTAATATTTTAAGACAAATGCATTCTTCATAAAAATATTTGCTTGTTCTAAAATGGTTAATCCCGTTTATAATTTTCTAAATTTCCATACCGTTTTAGAGAAAATTAAAAGAAACATGAAAATGTAGATAGTTGAATTTTTTCCTAAGTCCTAAAAATCAAAACGCGTTTCTATGGCAATACAATTTCAACTTCATTCTGTGATTCTTTGGTTTGGTTTGGTTTGGCAAAATAAAACACTAAATCACCACAAGTTGATTAAATTAACAAGAATGTTATTGATAAAATTTTAATTAACATAATATTTTTGGCTGTTTTGAAATGTTAAAGAAGCTCAAAATTAATTTAATTCAATGCTATAGCAAGGGTCATAATAGTTATTCGAAAAGCTGGTACTTTAACAACAGCAAAAAATATTAAGTTAATCAAAATTAATAATAACAATCTATCAAAGAATGAAATCGAAATTATATTACCATAGAAACGCCTTTAGATTTTTAGGAAATTCAACCATATTTTCATGTTTTTTTCTTAATTTTCTCTAAAACGGTATGGAAATTTGACAAAGTATAAACGGGATTAGCCATTTTAGAGCAAGGAAAAATCTTTATGAAGAATTTTTTTTCTAAATGTCAATAATACAAAAAAATTCCTCTTGTAAAGACAATCCGGGGACATACTGTAGTGAATTCGACCGTTGCCAAACGAGTATTAAGTACGTAGGTGAAAATTCACTATTTACTATTCTATTATACAGGGTGTCCCAGAAATGAGTGCAGATATTTTAAGGGGTGGTAGATCTGGCCAAAAGAAACATATTTTCTCTTTACCATTTTTAAAATAGATTGAAAATAACCGAGTTATTTAACTTTGAAAGTTTAAAAAAAAAATTGCGACATTTTGAGAGCCGCCGGGGAATCTCGCGGATCCCCCGGCGCGGGGGAGAGATCTCGCGGATCTCGGCTTGTTCGCCGCCCGCTGTTGCCACATCGACTAGAAAGATTTAAAAAGTACTTGCAAAATCCCACACCATCCAAGAGGTTCTGCAGAGGTGCGTTACTTTTTTTAAGTGGGTGATCGCCAGTAGCCCTACTTTCCACATTACACAAAATAAACTAAAAGAAAAAAACTTACCAAACAATAAAAAAGATATCCCTATAGCAGAGAGATACAACTGCAGAGCTTTCTTTTTTTCCATTTTACCACTCTTAAAACTGCACATAACACTACACTTAATAACATCACTTCACAACAATTCTTAACAACACTATGCAAATTTTCAACTGTGGAAATATTGGCTCCCCTATTAATTTTAGAGCTAAATCGTAAATGGTTTTTAAAGATACATTACAAATTTGCACAAGGGGATCCAATATCTCGACAGTTCAAAATTTGCATGGGATATCCTATATTTCCAACGATGATGCACCACCCGGTATACCCTTCGCTTCTTGACTGCATGCTATTATAATAATTGTTCAAAATGACGACCTCCATTTCCAATACATGCTCTCCTTCTTCTGAGCATGGAATTTTTAACGTTTTGCAGCAATTCTTCGTTGCTTTTCCCGAATCCCTCAAATGCTGAACCATACTTACAAAGGTTCGAGCATTAGGGATTTATCTATTCGGATACTCTTCGGAATAAAGTCTCCGAGCTTCTACAGCGCTTTCCCCTGCCAGAAAGTACCTATGCTCTTAGCATATCCACCTTCTCCGGATTTCTATACTCCATCGTGATTTGCCTATACCGATACCGATTACCGACACAAAAATATGCACTAACGAACATTTCACAACACTTTAAACACAATCTCCGATCACTTTCTCGAATTTTAAAAGCTCGATAATATTAGAAATTAGATCGATTTCTAATAGTGTACATGCTTTGTGTACATGCGATTAATAATGTCGTTAGTCGTTAATATAATACAGGAATCTGTAATTTTCTCCCCACCGCCCATTTCATTGGAAAAAACGGCGGCAAGTTTTCTGCTTTTGAAATTACGATCGATGGCATTTTATTGTGTAAAAGTGGATGGTAAATGGCATCGATCGTAATTTCTCAGGCAATTTAACGTCTTAGCAGGTATACTTATTTTTTTATCAAAAAAGCTTTATAAAAAAAAATAACTGAACATATTAGTAGCTTTATTACTAATTAAACTATTCAAAACATGTTCTGATATTACTAAAAAAATTTAAGTAAAAAATATAGCAAATTTTATAGTTTGACGACGTTATAATTAACAATAGGCAAATGGAAAAAATTACCTAACTATACATATTAGAGACATAATTCCATACCTAGAAATACCGTATGATCGAAAAAAACGGCGTCCAGAATGGCTTGAAAATAACGGTCGGTGACATTCTCCATAAAATTTTACACATAAATTGACAGCGATCTTTATATCATAGCCATCGCTGACGCCGTTTTTTTTTTTCACGACCATATTGTATTTCCCATTAATCGCATGGTGGCAATACTAATTTATATTAGAGATATATCTAAATGTGTATAAACTAGGTATTTTATTAGCAATCATATTTAAGCTATTATGACTCATATCATATTCTAATTATTTGAAACTTGAAACATAATATTTACTCCTATTATATTCATGTAACTAAATTTTCTAATATTAATAACTCTCTGATAATAAAAAACAAGAGTGTGTTTTGAAAAAGTAAAGCATAATTACTGTGTATTGACTTTATTGTGAAAAGCAACCTATTTGAAACACATTTACGTAACTACAGAATAGTTTAAAAAAGAACTTACACACATGTTTTTTTAGTCTATTTTCTTTATTATATTTGAAAACTACAGTCCCCCTTCCAATACATAAAAACATTTATATTCAAATATACTCTAGATAGAGCTCCAATTTTTATATGAAATGAGAATTTGTTCACACATAAACTACCGTATGATCGAGAAAAAACGGCGTCAACGATGGCTATGAAATGAAGGTCGCTGTCATTTTATATGTAAATTTATATAGGAAATGTCATTGATCGTCATTTCCCAGCCAACTGGACGCCGTTTTTTTTTCGATCATATGGTACATTTTATGTATTTTATTCTTTAATTTTAATTACTACAAATGGTCTTGATATTTTTCTTTTGAATACATATATTCTTGTTACTCTCTTTCATCTTTGTCTCTAATATACAGATGCATTGCAATTTGTTGTTAGTATATTTATGTAATCATTTCATAAATCCTAAAAATAAAAATGGTTATAACATGCTTTCCAGATATCCATATCCACAATATTCTGTGTGTAAATATGTTCAATTTTTAATAACCCATTCACTAAATGAGATTGTGAGACAACATACAGGTAGCTGTTTAAATAATTTTCAATCTTTGTATGTAATAATAGATTTCACATATTATATGCATTACACAATATGCATTACCTGCAATAATAAAAGATATTTTCTTTAAAGTGTATAATTCTATCTAACACACTTCTAATAAAGTATACTCTGACTCTTTGAACATTTGTTACAGCTTCTAATAATTAGGTATATCGATAACTTCCTAAGAAATTTTGTTAGCACTTTTAGTTAGTTTACCATATATTCTGCATAATATATGACTCGATACATTCACCTAGAATAAAATCAATAATATCATTTATGAATAGAAAACTACATGTATAACTTTTTCGTTAATATTTGCAATTTCAGACCAGAACTTGTCTGAAGAGAACTTTCTTGGTTTGTTTAAAAATATCTTACCGTATAACATAAATTTACATCTGAATTAATCTAATCAGATCAAATTTTCTTCATAGTATAGAAAACATCGAAACTATTTGACTGGTAATCGAGCTATTAATAAGCTGACACTAAAATTTAATGCATAATTAAATGGGATAATTATTTTCATGTAAAACAAAACTTTATACTTAATAAGACCACAGGGAGTACATAATAACAGTGTTACTGAGATTTTTGATTTAATGTATTGCTTGGTATTTGTAGATCTATTATTGTATTGTGATTACAATTGCCTTCTTCTCCATTGATGCATCCTAATTTAAGATTACTGATTTTCTAATACATAATTAAAGTGAAATTATTTTTCCTACCATTACATAATTAATTTCTTCCTACCATTAGGTAGATACCTGAAAGGTTAATAAATTAAAAACGAATTTATTAAGACATTTAAACTGTTTACCTCATTTCTCACATATTTTTGACACCAAACATTATAAATAAATCAAAAAATATTCGTATACCAACTGAATTATATGATATTTCATTTTGAATAATAAAAGTACTTTTTTACAGGTTTATTTGGCATTGTTTGCATTGTTTTTTGTTGTTTTCTGTTTTGTTTTTGTGCGAGTTTAATAACCCACGATTAACCTTAAACATAACCTTAAACTACACACCATACTAGGGATGTACGATTCGAATCGATTATTATCAAATCGACGTGATTTTTATCAAACGATTTTTTGGTATAATCGATCTTTTTTTTTAAATCGAAGACCGATTTTATTTATACAGTTTTACAGGTTTATTTATTTGTTAGAATAAGAAAAAACACTTTAGTTTTGCTGGAATATTTGTTTGCAGTGCATCCCTAGTAAAAGGCCATCTAGCAATGAACTGAAAAATTAAGTGTAAGTGCTCGCTGCCGCATGCGCCGATGTTTGTTTATCACTTTGATATCAGGTGTCAGATTTTTGTCGGGGCTTCCCATATTTTTATATTTTAGATAACGTAGAATACTCTTTGATTTTACCTTAATTCTTTCTTGGGTATACCCTTTCTTGTACTTTTATTTTATTTTTGGGATATCCCTACTCCATACATTAAACATTTAGAAAATTGATTTATCTATCTTTATACAACCACCAAAACGTTGACCCATAATAGTAATACATCAGTCCAGTAGAGGACGCTAAGGTAAAAAATTTCTAAATAAAAATTTGTAATTTGTAATTCCTTCAGTGTTTTCGAAATCGTTGTCGGGGTTGCGTCGGTTTTGAAGAAATGTCGAAGAAAACCCCGGACTGTCTACCATCAGCCTCCGGATATGAGTAGTTATTAAAGCAAGTTTTTTTAACATTTTTTATTGTATTTATGAGTTTAGTGTTTGATTATTATCATGTGAAAAATTTTAAATAATATTTTAAAAGTGATAGGCATGTGATAGGTTTGTGATGTTCAGTTTAATAGATATTTGGTGTGTATGTGTTTACGTATATGTGTGCTGGATAAAAACACTTTCATTAAAAAGGGTAAGCTCTAACTAAACATAAAAGGTTATAATTGTTTATTGAAACGATTGAAAATATTTCCTAATATGGCGAAAAAAGAAGCTATAATTGTTAAGATTTATTTTTCAGTTTACTCCACTGTAAAAAGTATTTAAAATATTGCGCGTTTCTCTAGAATTAGTAGAGCAATCTACACTAATATGAATAAAATGAATTTTCGTATTTTTTTCTGTAGCAACTTAAAATAATTGAATTTATAGATAAACATGCAGAATGTGGGTATGGTAGGAGGTGGCAACGTTGCATTCTCTCCGACACTCTCTATGCCCGGTAAACGAATTTCCCGGGGAGTGAACAGTGGCACTCAAAAGTTTTTCAACATTTTCCGGAAAATGTCAAGAAAAATATAAAATTTTCAACATTTTTTTTTCGCAAAAAAAACCTCATAGGCGTGTTTCTGGGGTTGAACTATACTACCAGTTAAAATATCTGCACTCATTTCTGGGACACCCTGTATAATTATAATTATTTATTATATTATATATATTATATTATATTATAATTATAACAAGTAACCACAACACTACAACATAAAAAACTATACGCATATAAACTAAAATTCGTAAAATAAATGGCAAATAGTAATTATTATTTTTACACACACCACTGGCACTAGCAGTAGATTGTGTTTGTCGCCGAAATGCCCCGGCCCGTCCACAATTCAATCCCAGCATCTTTTATCTTCGTCTCTTCAACGCTAACCGCGCCGATCTCGCCTACCTCTTTCTAACAGAATTGATGGTTGAACGGGCCGGGAATCCACGAGCTTGCGACGCTACTAATTGACATATTGTTAGAAACTGCAGACCTGCCGCGTCTTTAGCATGTTTTAATGGACACAAATCGAAAAAAAAACCGCCTATAACGGTAAAATCGCAAAAAACGCTTGAGACGCAAAAAACGCAAAACGCTAAAAACGCTTTGTGTGGCCGTGGGCTTAGTGCACGGCCACACAGAAAGCGTTTTTTGCGTTTTTAGCGTGAAGCGTCTTTTGCGTCTAAAACAAAATAACAGAATTATATAGGAGTGGCCCCACCGAAAGCGTCTAGCGCTCGGCGTGTCTCGCAAAAAAACGCAAATGAAAACAAATCAATTTGTTTTCTGTAGCATCTTTAGCGTTTTCTATGAGACCCCGTCATAGGCGAACGTAATATTCAATAATACAATAAAAATAAATTAAATAGTAATATAGCATTTTTTTCATTTTAGGATATTATCTAAAAATATTTTTATAGAGAACATCTACTGTTTAGGAAGATTCTATTAAATTCAAAAATTTCAAGGAAATGTTTGAAAAAATGTAGTTTGAAATGTTGAAAAAGTCATAAATCAAAGGAATATTTTCTTACGCGTAAAAAATAGTTTTTTATTCGTAAAAAGTATTTTTTTCTGCGTAAAAAAGGTTTTTTTAACAGAAACAAATAGTTTTTGACGCGTAAAAAATAGTTTTTTACGTGTAACAAATCGTTTTTTCACACGTAATTTTTTTTTCTGTAAAAAAGTTTTTTTACCAGAAACAATAAATTTATGACGCGTAAAAAAATAGTTTTTTACGTGTAACAAATAGATTTTTACACGTAACAAATAGTTTTTTTCACGTAAATTTTTTTTTTGTGTAAAAAAGTTTTTTACGAGAAACAATAAGTTTTTGACGCGTAAAAAATTAGTTTTTTTTACGTGTAACAAATAGTTTTTTACAAGTAAAAAATATTTTTTTTGTGTAAATAAGTTTTTTTACCAGAAACAATAAGTTTTTGACGCAAAAAAAAAATTACGTCTAACAAATCGTTTTTTACATGTAAAATATTTCTTTTTGCGTAAAAAAGTTTTTTTACCAGAAACAATAAGTTTTTGACGCGTAAAAAAATAGTTTTTTAAGTTTAACAAATAGATTTGTACACGTAACAAATAGTTTTTTACGTATAACAGTTTTATTCGCGTAAAATAATAAAAATAGTTTTTTTACGTGTAACAAATGGTTTTTACACGTAATAATTTGATTCACTTTTACAAAATTTGTATTAAAATATCAATATTTTTGATAAACACGAGGACTGCGCACAAATACACGTCGCGTCACTACGTATTTCTAAGCCGTTAACACGTTTCGTTACAACTAGCTCGTGTGTCAGGGCCGTCTCAATAGCTCGTATGTCACGGCCTTGAATCTTTACACCCAGCGCGCGTAAAGAAGTTTCACTCCAAAAAGTTTCATAAATCATGTCCTAAAATTGCGTTAGCAACTAGTAATATATATTTACTATTCTATTATATAATTATAATTCTTTATTATCTTATATTATATTTATAACAAGTAACTACAACACTACAACATAAAAAAACTATACACATATAAACTAAAATTCGTAAAATAAATGGCAAATACTATTTATTATTTTTAAACACACCACTGGCACTAGCAGTAGATTGTGTTTGTCGCCGAATATATGCCCCGGCCCGTCCACAATTCAATCCCAGCATATTTTATCTTCGTCTCTTCAACGCTAACCGCGCCGATCTCGCCTATCTCTTTCTCACAGGACTGATTTTGAACGGGCCGGGAATCCACGAGCTTGCGACGTTACTTATCGACATCTTGATAGAAACTGCAGACCTGCCGCGTCTTTTGCGTGTTTTTAATCGACACAAATCGAAAAAAAAACGCGTAAAACGGTAAAATCGCAAAAAGCGCTTGAGACGCAAAAACGCAAAACGCTAAAAACGCTTTATGTGTGGCCGTGGGAGTTATACCGTTGAAGGATTCCCATTCCAGGTTACAGATGGAGTCTTCCAGGTTCTTCAGTTCCGCTCTAAGTTAGTTTCAACTTGGGAAGCAGAACGGTTCTGGTTCAGTTACTGGAGTGTTCGCCTCTTTTCTAGCTAGATCGTTTGCCTTTTCATTGCCTTCTATCTCTTGGTGGACTGGCGCCCATAGTAGGAGGACTTTATTTTCTTTGCCTAATTTGTTTAACTTCTTTAGGCATTCTTAATCAACTTCGAATTGATGGTTAATGAGTTGATCGCTTTTAATGCTGCTTTACTATCAGATAAGATGGTTATTTCCTTTTTCCGATAGTTCCCATCTAAGACAAGTTGTATGCAACTTTCGATAGCAATAGATAGATTTCTGCCTGAATGATGCTGCGGTCGGTACCTATTGGTTCGGAGGATTTAGTTTTCGACCTATATAAATACTCCTATTCCTGTTCCTATTTTGATTTTGGAAGCATCAGTATACTACGTCATATACATTTGTCTTTTGCTTGCTGAGCAAACATGTCTCTCTTTGTTATTGCTCAATTCTACAGCGAGGTGTTTCTTTCTCAAAGTTGTACATTCTTGGTATGTCATCCACTGGGAGTTGAAGAAGTGGAATTTTACTTTTGCGGGTGTTCCAAGCTCCCGAGTTGACAATTCTCCCAGTACTGTTTCCGTCAATCTTCTGCCTATCAATTATATCCTCTATTTTACCCCTTGAAGGTACCACATATAAAATAATATATGTTCATAATATACAAAGGTTCTTCCTCCTTAACAAATACACAAAATAGACATAAATTATTTTAGATAAAAAATAGGTGTTGTGACTTGCGGAAAATCGGAAATTGTCTTCATAAATACCGAACTAGCCGGTCGGATAAAGGAAACGCCAATAGCGGTGGGTGATTTATTTTGATATAAATTTCCGAAAAAGTGGTAAATAAAGGGCGTAAATTCAGTAAACGAATAAAAATACATACGTTTCACTTTGCTCGTATAATAAATTACTAAAAAGAGAGAAAG